CAATCTATAACAAGGAAATATAGTTAACCCTAGTAAGAAACAACGGCAATAGTTTGATGGATATGCATAGACTTTTATTGTGATTCAATTTTTTTAACTTGCGTCCTTTTTGAGTCATTTTAGTGATGAAGCAAGGGAACAGTACGTCTCAAACCAAGGTAATATATATTGTGCATCTTTCTTGATTCACAAAGATTGAGGAACTTGTGTCTTAGGCTACACAATCGCGCCTTGTGAGAAGCGATCCTACTTTAGTATTTAAGTGGGGAAGGATAGAGGAGAAGACCTATCTTCCAAAAGTTTTAAAGGTTGCAGTTGGCTGAAAGACTAGCTAGAGAGAGAATTCTTGATCATAAAAAACAATATGGAGGAGGAAAGTGCGGAAGAAATCTAAAGGTATGGATCACTGTGTTATTTATTCTAACTCTTTGTGCATTTATATTGACTATGTATACCACTTTAAGTTGCATTTCTATATTCCATGTAGAGATCACATGAGTTAACCAATATATATTAGAATGGAAGCAATTTTGACATGTCTCAAATTTAGTTGGTTGGGGGTAATGAATCTCATATTTTTTTTCTTAAACAATGATTATATTTTGTAATCAAAGTGAATTTGTTACATGTTAAAAAAAGATCATGCACGTGGCACTTTTGATGATTTCTTTTCTTGATAAAGTAAACATTGTTTCGTTAACTGTTATGTACTTTTGAACTTTCAGGAACTGAATGTTGATGGTTGGAACAAAAAAATATACTCCCAGTTGTTGACTGCATCGGTTACAATGAACAAGGATAGGTTTTGGCTGTTTTTACTGTTCATTGTTATGTACAAATGTTTTGTTTTTTTCATATGTTTGTTGATTGCATATAACATTTTGTAGGTACCTTATGAATCTTGATTAAGAAAAAAAATTATGTCAAATGATAAATTTCCATGAAGGCTCGATACAGTAATTTAAGAACTACATAGTTAGAAAATCAATGTTAAATTATATGCTTCAAATGAGAAAATTTTTGCGCTTAATGTGTTTCATAAAGAAAATCGTTTTCTGTTTTTTTTTTCAAATAACTTCCATTAATTGCCGTATAGTATTGGAAAGTCATTTGCTTAGCCAAAATCTAGCTCACACAACACATACTTTACTATTTGAAGAATAAAATAGAGAATGCCCTCTCCAACCCTCTCTATATTACTCTCTAGTCTTTATACTCCATTTATAGAGAGGTGAATAGTAGTTTTCCTTTTTATTTCACTTTTTGATTATTTTGATATTACTTTTATGATATCATTAACTAAATATTTACTATTTGTAATTATTTTATAATGTATTATAACATCTCAAAATATATCATTCAAAAGATACTACTTCATCCAAATTAATAACTTTTTTAATAAATTTAGCACTTCAAAAATGTAAGTTTTAAATTATTTTAACATTATTAATACTATATTAGACTATTAATTAAGTCTCTAATATTTATAATTATTTTCTAAGCAACATAATATATTATTGATAAGTATACTACTCCCTTCCCGAATTAAAATTCTTCTAATTTGATTGTTTTTCAAGTTTTTGTCATTTTAAATTTGTAATTTAAAATTATAATATTTTTTTACTATAGAGAATACACAAAATTGGTAGTTCATACAATCTGTGTATATGTTATAGTGATAAATGATTAAACTACACTTTTTAATGAGAATAAAATTACTTGATGCAACAGTTTAAAATTGAAAAGGGGAATTATATTTGTATAAAAAATAATTGGATACGAGATGAAATCGTTAAATTAGGCAATTTTTAGCTACAAGTAAAACAATAAGGACAAAAAATTGCTCATATTGAACTCCGTAATGTATTATCACAATATGTATGGGAGAAACCTAACAATCTTGAAAGTTGAATATTTATGTAAAATTTAAAATAATTTTAATGATAATGCAATATTTATGATATAATTGTAGTTCATCAATAGTTTCACTATGACTTAAATTGTTCGGTAATATGTATTATATATAATATTTGTCGCATTTATGATATTAAGAATAAATATTTTTTATTCAATGAAGAATTTGAAAAGAAAAATTTTTTATTTTGCATAAAGATTATATAGATTATAGGGTGATTATTTGCAAAACAATTCTATTTATATTACGAAATGAGGAAGTAAAAATAAAATGAAAATAATAATATAATATTGAGCTGAGAGAAGAAGATTCATTTTTAGAGAGTAAAATAGAGTATAAGTTGGAATTGATTGTCTGTGTGGTCATTTAAAATTTAATAAATATAAATTTCTAAAGTTGTTCGGATTATATTAAATGAATGAATATATTAGTCCAAATAAATATTATGTATTAATATAATTGATTTAATTATTTAAATTCATATAAATATAAATTTAATTAAAGCCCGCTCCATAAAGCCCATATGACATTTTACTTAAATCTGATTGACCAAAGGGAATCCTGTTCCAATCGCAACTCCTCTATTCTAAAACTATAAATAGGGGTCTCATAATTCAGAAAAAGGAAAAACATAAAATTCTAAACAAGAAGCTAAAGAAAATACGTGGTACATACGCCATTTAATTATCTACAAAGATACAAGTTTAAAAATTCAAGCATTCAAGTTTCAAGAACGATCAAGATCAAGACCACCGAATTCAAGAAAAAGCTTGAAGCCCTTGAATTCAAAAAAAATCAAGATCAAGATAAAGTTCAAGTTCAAGTTCATCATAGATTCCAGAACAGGCTTAAAGCCCTTAAATTTAGATTTGAAAAGGCGAATCTAGAGGAATCATAGACATTGTAACACTTGCATTTGAAATAAAAAAATCGATTGTTGCTATTATTTTCCGTTCCTGATTATTATTTTTTCAACACGAATTTTATCATCTACCAATTCTGGCACGCCGAGTGGGACAATCTTATACCTCTCATCTCAACTTTTCAAGCATCAAAGAATATCAAAATGTCTTCCACTATAGAAGAACAACTAGCAAGCTTAACTAAAGCAATTGAAGGCCAGACAAAGTGCGCACACGAACAAGTTGTTAAACTTTCAAAGCTAACAAATAAGATAGATAACATGATTGAAAGAAGATCAAATCAATCACCTTTGAAGCTTTCTAAAATTCAACACAAAGAAGTCTCTTACTTAAAGCAAACAAAGATCAAAGAGATTCATATCTCAGACGAAGGTTTGATTCCAATTGATCAGTTAAAGAACTTTATCATAGAGACAATCGAAGACAAATCTGAGTCTTCATCCAAATTTTTCCCATATATGCAAAGTCATATACATAAAAGGTTGATAACTTGAAAATATCTGAGGGTTATTAACCTCCCAAGTTTCAACAATTTGATGGCAAACAACATATAGTACACTTTATCGAGACTTGCAAGGCTGTTGGGACCTATGGTGATTATCTTATTAAATAGTTCGTTCGATCTCTCAGAAAATGCATTTGATTGGTACACAAATCTTGACCCTAATTCTATAGATAGTTGGGAGCGATTAGAGCAAGAATTCCTTAATCATATTTATAGCACAAGATCTTTCGTTTATGATGGAACTTACAAAGGCTCGTCAAGGTGAAGATGAGTTAGTTGTTGACTTTATCAATCGTTGGAGAAGTCTGAGCCTCAACTACAAAGATCGCCTTAGTGAAATTTCTAGCATTGAAATGCACATCCAAGGTATGAATTGGGGTCTTCACTACATTTTGCAAGGATTAAATCCCAATACTTTTGAAGAGCTGGCAACTCGTGCACATGACATTGGATTAAGCATGACTTTAAGAGAAGATCAACAATCTCCTCTCTATGGACCTTATAAAGATAAAGATTTAGAAGAACTCCAAAGTGGGGGCAAATCTTAAGATGACTTTGAAGAGTCAATGTATATCTAGACACTCCTTAATGCATGAGGTTAAACAGCAACTTACAATTCTCCTTGAAGCACGAGCTTAAACTGTACCTCACTATCGCGCCCCATTTTTCTGGATTTTTTCTCTCTCTACATTTTCTCTCTCATCGCAAACACTCTCTCCCACAACAGCTGGAAACCCAGACACGCCCAGCGCCGCAATGGCGCGTGGGCTGCCGGTAGCCGTCAAATGGCCGCCAGACCTAAACCAAAAGGAGCACCTTCGAGAATAATATCAGAACTCAAAGAATTTGCAGGTCAAAGATGCGATGGAACCTGCGAGTGTTGAAGGGAAATTCAATGAAGATAAAAAAAATATTTCCCTATGATTTTCTGGGTTGAATCAAGAAGAAAGGATAAGGGAAATGAATTCCCATCATTGGGATCTATCACAGATCCAAAAATCAGCGCTTTCAATCGTCCCAATCACTCAAAATCGAGAGGTGACTTTTGAAGTAATCGCGACAAAATCGCCGGAATCGCGAACTCAAATTCGATCGACTTACAGTAAAATTCAAGGGATTTGACCACTGGGGTTTGTTCCCCCAATGATAAGGTCCTTCACAGCCAAATTTTGAAGCAAACGGACGATGGAATCGTCAGGGGTGAGAACTCCGGTGACGTTATAGCTTCAAACACCGAAATCAATGGAAGTTCGTCAAAAGAGTCGGATTCCCGGACAAAAACATACACTTAAAAGATATTTCTACCCAATCCAACAGAAAAATCATTAACAACAACAATTCAACCCCCTCCACTGATCGTAAGTCCATTTCTCAACATGAACGACATGAGAGTGAAGGGGAAACACCAGACAATATTTGAACAATTGAACAAGACATAAATGTTGTTATTCCTCAAGCAATTGAAGCAACAACAATGAACAAAGAAAACAAAACTCAGCAGGGGAAAAATTTGACTACTAAGTAGGGCAATTTGAGGACATACATAGCAGACTCAACAAATATAGCCTCAACAAATGAAACTTCGAACTTCTTCTTTGCCATGACAGGTAATTCATCTTATCTAACTCGTACCTTTAATCACAACATTTACATAATAATGAGGAAGGGGAAAGGAATGCAAAGGATCAAAGGCAAGAACAAACAACGAAGCAAGCTGATCAACCAGACAAGCAGGAGTAGAAAACTGTGAAAAAATAAGGGAACTTGGGAATAGGCAAAGAGAGTTCAGAACAGGAGCAAGGGAGTAATGGAAAACAACCTGATCAAGCTAAGCACACCTACAAGCAGGGGGAGTCAATCCAGGAGATCACAACAATCGAGCAAGGGAGGAGTATCATCACAATTTTCCCAAAATTTCCAATAATTACTCAAGGTATGAATCTAATCCCCAAGCTGATAGAAAGAACAAGCAGGGTGATCAGGGTGTTCACGTAACTACTAGGCAGCCTACTAACCAAAAGCAAGGTCAACTTCCTAATAACAATATTAAAAATGATCAAAGCTTGGAACCTGCTCCTTACACTGTTGTACAGTCCTTTGCTGCTAGACTGAGGTATAACCAAGCTAAAAATGAAACTCCAATTGTGTTGAATGAGCCTGTCCATAGAACTAGACAAGGACTCCATGCTATTTTAATAGAGGAGGAAGATTATTATGTTAAATTGGCTGAGATTTGCAAGTATACTCTTGTGGAAAAGTTTACTAACACAATGCCTAGAATGGAGCAAGTAAGAAAAAGTTTCATTCTGCAAACTCAGCTGATGGGGGGTGTTAAGATCACTCATTTTAACTCTAGGCATGTATACATTGATCTAGACAATGAACTAGACTATCAAATATTTTGAACAAAACTGAAAATGAACATTGAAGGACAAGCTATGAGAATTCAAGCTTGGACCCCTGATTTACACCTGCAGAGGAAACACCAATTGTTCCTATATGGGTGTCTATTCCAGGCCTTCCTTGGCATTTCTACAACAAAGTTCTTTTGTCAACTATTTTGGAGAGTATTGGGAAGGTGATGTTCTTAGACTCACCAACCTCACAAAGAACCAGGGGTAGTACCACTAGAGTGAAGGTGCAAGTGGATCTTACTAAGGAAAGACCTTCCCATGTTTGGCTGGGATTCAAACATTCAAACCCCAACAAAGGAAGATGGTTAAAAGTTGAATATGAGGGGATCCCTAGTTATTGCTTCTAGTGCAAACATCACGGCCACATGGATGAAGACTGTACAATTAAAAAAAGGGATGATGACTTCAATAAAAGAAAGGAAATGGAGGCTGGAAAAAAGAGTAAAGAGCAGCCTGGAAATAAAAACACTCAAGAACAGGAAAAAATGACAAATGAGATTGCTGGAAGGATACAAAATCAGAAAAGCAGGGAGGTAAACCAAAATCTGCCAAAGAAACAACTTACAAGACATCAACAAGAGAAAGACACCTACAGCCAGAATGAAACAGACCGGCAGGCTGAATTACAGGAAGAACAGTGGCAGACTCAAAGGAAAAAACAACACAAAAACCAGGAAACTAATAACTCTAAGTTAGTGTGGAGACAAGTTTCACCACAACCACAAAGAGGCAGAAACAGCCAACAACAGGAACAAGAAACAAAAGGTATAACTTCTATCCCAACTCAGAATATTTTTTCTAACCTTGGAGTGCAGGAACAGAAGAAAACAGGAAATACAGAGACAGAACACAACAATGGAATCCAACAAAAACAAGGAGTTAACAACAGCTCAGCTGCAACAAAAAGAAACAGCATAAACAATGAACAAAAACAGCAGGCTGTTGCAGATCATAAACACAAGACCCGAGGTATTGACTCAATGCTCCCAAACCCAGAACCCCCAATATTATTAATGTTGCTGCTGGTTTTTCTGAAGAAGTATCTGGAAAATATGGATGGGGGTGTCAGGAGATAGCCTATATCTTGCAGGATGGGGTTATAATTTGCCTCATGTTATGCATGAGGGGTTGGAATCAGACCTTAGTACAGACCATAGAGCCTCTAATAGTGCTGAAAACAGACTTCAACAAGGGAAACAACAGCAACATCAACAGCATGTACAAAATAGAGACAACAGCAAACAAACTGCCAATGAAAATAATGAGAAACAACAAACTGAAAAAACGAATGAAAAAGATCAAGGGAAACAACGTGATACAATTGCTACTTACATCACTCCTAACAGTAAGAATAAGTAAACAAAAAAGAGATGTTGCAAAAAGGAGGCAAAATAGACAGCAAGAAAGGGATAGTGAACAGGAGCAGGATGGAAGGGAAGAATCTTGTAACAATTTTATCATGGTTGATGATAACCATGGATTAGATATTCTTTCCTTACAAGCTCAGTATATGACCCCTCCTACAACTGATCCCCTGATTTAAGACAATAAAAAGGGTAAACTTAATAATGTGCCTATTTTAGATGAATATGTTGTGGATAATTCAGAGAATGAAATGGATGGAGATAATCATTCCATTGAAAAGGTTGAGGAAGATGATGAGACTAGTGAGGCCCTAATTAGGGCCTTTAGTCCACATAATGATCAGACCTTGGAGTAAGAAATCAAACAGATAACACAAAGCCAATGTTTATCTCCAAGGGGTTTCCATCATGAAAAATTTCACTTCAAGAAGCAAGATGCAAATATTGTCACTGCCGGCAAACCAAACACTAGGCTCTTCTCCTCTAGATCATCCCAATGATTAGTACAATCATAGGGAATGTAAGAGGGATCAACACTCAAGGGGTGTTGGAGTGACTAAAAATGCTCAAGAAACTCCACCATTTATCTGTTATTGCCATTTTGGAACCTTTCTCAGATAGTGTTCATATTCAAAGCTTCAAAGTGCAGCTAAGCATGGAAAATGCTATTAGCAACTGTAATGGTAAGATTTGGGTTTTCGGGAGCAGTGATATTGAATGTAATATTCTTGATGAAGTTTAACAGAAAATCACTTGCAACATGAAACACAATGAATTACCATATCAATTTGCTAATACCTTTGTCTATGATAAATGCAAAAATCATCTCAGAAGATCTCTGTGGGACAAAATGATACAACACTCTACCTTAAATGATAATCCTTGGTGTGCTGTTGGTGATTTCAAAGTTATAACTTCTGTCGAGGAAAAACTGGGAGGGTTAGCCTATAAAATGAGGAAAAGTATTGAGTTTATTAATGTCATTGAAGCTTGTGGACTCTTGGACATAGGTTTTAGTGGACAGAAATCTACTTAGTTCAACAAGAGGGGTATTAACCACAGAATCTATAAGAGACTTGATAGGGCGATGGTTAATGATTCTTGGTTGGAAAAGATGCCTCAAACCACCATAACTCACCTGTTATCTACTGGATCGGTTTACTGCCCCCTTCTTATGAAAATGACTTCCTCAACTACTGAACACATGAAATACTTCAGGTTCCTCAACTGCTGGGTAGACAACCCTCTCTTCATGGAAACTGTCAAAACCTGTTGGGAAAAGGATGTGGAAGGTAATGGTATGTGGAGATTTCACCAAAAAAAGAAAATATTGTCAAACAATCTTAGTGGTTGGTCAAAGAAAGAATTTGGTGATATTTTCCAAAATATTAGGATGTATGAGGAACAAGTGCATAAGGATGAAGAAAACTACATCTCTAACCAAAGTGACTCAAATAGAAGTTTTCTCCATGAGATTAATGTTAAGTACATCAAGTTCCTCAAGTTGGAAGACACTATTTTTAAATAAAAAGCTCAGCTTCAATGGTTTAAGGAGGGTGATACTAAATCTAAATACTTCCATTCTGTGATAAGAGGAAGAAGAAGGAAGTTTATTCATAAAGTTGTAAATGAAAATGGAGTCTGGATAAAAGATGATGACAACATTGCTCAAGTAGCTTGTGAATATTTGAAAGAAATTTTTAGTGGAGAAGAAAAGCATATGAATGAGAATACATTGGAATGTATTCCAAGGATGATTAGTCAAGACCAAAATACTCAGCTTACCAATATACCAAGTATGGATGAACTTAAAGAGGTGTTCTTTTCAATGAATCCTAATTCGGCAGCTGGGCTAGATGGTATGAATGGGTATTTCTATCAAAAGTGTTGTCACATCATCAAGAATGATCTAGTGGGGGCTGTACAAGCTTTTTTCGGTGGACAAATTATTCCCAAGTGCTTCTCCCATTCTTGTATTGTGTTTCTCCCTAAAGTCAATAATCCTAACAAAATGACTGAGTTTAGGCCTATAAGTCTGAGCAACTTCACTAGCAAAATCATATCTAAGCTAGACAATCCGGGTTTGTTAAAGGCAGAAGTATCTTAGAGAACATAATGCTTGCTCAGGAAATCATTCATCACATCAAAAAACCAAATATTGGTAGTAATGTCATCATTAAACTAGACATGGCTAAAGCCTATGACAGGGTGTCATGGTCTTATATCTGTCTAATTTTAAAGAAAATGGGATTTGATGAGGTGTTTATTGATATGGTGTGTAGAATCATGGCTAACAACTGGTACTCAATCATAGTCAATAGTAAGAGATGTAGTTTTTTACATTCCACTAGAGGCCTCAAGAAAGGTGACCCCCTTTCTCCATCCCTATTTATTTTAGGCACGAAGGTTTTATCAATATCTCTTAACAGGCTTCATAATCATCCGGACTACCATGGTTTTATCATGGAAATGAGGGGGCCACAGGTGAATCATTTGAGCTTTGTTTATGATATCATTTTGTTCACCTCTGGGAGATGCAAAACTTTGAAGATTCTTATGAATACCTTAAAGGAGTATGAGAATACTTCTTGACAGCTCATCAATGGTGATAAAAGTCACTTTATTCTACACTCTAATGCTTTCATTAGCACTACAGATAGAATGAAAAGACTTACAGGTTTTAAACAAAAACAGGGTCCAATTACCTACCTAGGCTGCCCTTTATTTGTTGGTAGGCCTAGGAATATTTGTTTTCTTGGCCTTGTTAATAAGTTGTTGGCAGTATTACAGGGTGGAAAACCAAACAACTTAGCTATGGGGGCAAGGCAATTCTTACAAAACATGTGCTACAAGATCTCTCTATCCATCTACTTTCTGCAGTAACTCCCCTAAATACTATTCTTAAGCAAATCCAGATGCTTATGGCTTATTTTTTCTGAGGGTGGAATAGTGATAGGAAGAAATACCATTGGACTTCTTGGAAGAACCTAATATTCCCTTATGATGAGGGAGGAGTAGGCATGAGAAACTTAAAAGACGTTTGCAAGGCATTCCAATTCAAAAAATGGTGGATTTTCAGAACAATGCAGACACTCTGGGGTGATTTCTTGAAAGCAAAGTACTGCCAAAGGTCCAATCCAGTTAGCAAAAAATGGGATTCTGGGAATCATTAACTTGGAAAAACATGTTGATGAACAGGCCACAAGTTCAGCAACACATCCAATGGAAGCTGCAAGCTTGAAACTACTCATTTTAGTGGGATAATTGGTTAGGCAGTGGACCATTAGCACACTTTACCTCCAGCAGCAACAGACTCAATAATTCCAAAGTTGCAAATTTTTTGGAAGAAGGGGGATGGAGTTGGAGCAGACTGTTGGAGCAGGCACCAGCCAGTCAACTCTCCAACATACTAGCTACAAGTATCTCCCCTCTCCAGCATCTTCCAGATCATGCAGTATGGAAACTCAACACCCATGGAGGTTTCAATTGTTCATCAGCTTGGGAAGAGATTAGAGAAAAAAGGTCTAAGAATCACTTCAATTATCTTCGATGGCATAACAAAATTCCATTTAAGTCTTCCTTTTTGATATGGAGATCCCTTAGGGGTAAACTCCCTACTAATGATAAGCTTACTAATTTTGGCATTGAGACACCAACTTGTGTTTGCTGTTTTGACAGGTCAGGAATGGATTCCATAGAGCATATTTTCAGCACAGGAAAATTTGCAGCAGCAGTTTTGCTACTACTGCAGGCATGCTGCCAGACTGTTCCTCCCTGCAGGCATTGATCCAGCAATGGTGGGCTTCCAGGCCAAGAAATGCAGCACACATGACACTACTACAAGCCACACCTATATTCATTTGTTGGAACCTTTAGAAGAACAGATGTGTAGCCAAGTATGGAGGCAAAAAACCAACTTCAGCCAAGTCAAATATGCAATATACAAGAACAACTACAAGATGCTTAACACTGCCTTCCCTCAAGTTAATTGGCTAGCAAAATGGACAGAAGTACTCCGGATGAGTGAGAGGTGTGTGCATGATATCAAGGTGAATATGGTGACTTGTATAAAACCGGCAAACCAGTGGATTAAGGTGAACATGGATGGTAGTGCACTTTCAAATCTAGGCAGGCTAGAGGCTGGTGGTATTTTGAGAGACAATCATGGCAGGTTGTGATGGCTTTCACAACACCAATGAGTGAAGGAACAAACAACAAGGATGAAATTGAGGCATCCATCTTTGGATTAAGTTGGGCACTTGAACTTGTATATAGGAACATCATTTTGGAGCTTCATTCTCAACTAGTGTTGCATTGGATTTTAAAGAAGGCTACCCCTCAATGGTACAACATCACACAGCTGGGAAGAATGCAGAATCTCATCTCTCAAACTCAAAACTTCAAATGCTTGCATGTGTTTAGAGAAGCCAATTGTGTGGCTGATGCACTTTCCAAATTTAGCCACATGACCACCACTCCTCAAATATACTTCAATAGACAAAAAATGCCTAAGGAAGCAAAGTCATATTATCATCTTGATATATTGCAAATTCCTAACTTCAGATGGAAGAAAACCAAAATGATTAAGGAACGTCCTTGAACCTTTCATACCAATTCAACTTTGCTATAATTAAAATTATAGCTACTTTGAATAGGTTAGTTTAGTTATAGGCTTTATTGTAAAGGGAGAGTCTCCCTAGTTTATGCTTTTTAGATGCTTTGTATTGAGAGGAGTCCTCTCATTAGTTACTTAGTATTTTGATTTCATCTTTAATTGTAAGGGGAAGAGGTGACCTTCTTTTTGGAAAGTTAACTCCGAACCATCTTAAGTCAGGAGGTTAGGTTTATGCCCCCTCCTTGTATTTTGTTTTTGTTATTAATGATAAGGCCTGGGGGTGTCACTCAACCCCAACCCCACCGAGGGTTATTAAAAAAATTGTACTTTACTTAAATGTTCAAGTTGAAATGCTCCATAAAACACGAGCTTAAATTGTATGTCCCTTAAATCTTCAAGTTAGAATTAAAATCTTCAAGTTGAAATGATCATTGAAACACAAGTTTAAACTATATGTCACTTAAATCTTCAAGTTGAAATGCTCATTGAAACACGAGCTTAAATTGTACGTCACTTAAATCTTCAAGTTTGAGTTAAACTTCAAGTTGAAATGCTCCTTGAAACACGAGCTTAAAAACTGTATATCACTTAAATCTTCAAGTTAGAGTTAAATCCTTAAGTTGAAATGATCCTTGAAACACGAGCTTAAACTATGTGTCACTTAAATTTTCAAGTTAGAGTTAAATTTTCAAGTTGAAATTCTCCTTGAAACACGAGCTTAAACTGTGTGTCACTTAAATTTTCATGTTTGAGTTAAATCTTCAAGTTGAAATGCTCATTGAAACACGAGCTTAAATTGTATGTCACTTAAATCTTCATGTTTTAGTTAAATCTTCAAGTTGAAGTGCTCCTTGAAACACGAGCTTAAACTGTATGTCACTTAAATCTTCAAGTTAGAGTTAAATCTTCAAGTTGAAATGTTCCTTGAAACACGAGCTTAAACTCTGTGTCACTTAAATTTTCAAGTTTCATTTAAATCTTCAAGTTGAAATGCTCCTTGAAACACGAGCTTAAACTATATGTCCCTTAAATATTCAAGTTGATTTAAATCATCAAGTTTAAATGCTCCTTGAGACACGAGTCTAAACTGTATATCATAAAGTTCTTTAAATTAGAGCTAAATCATC